GCTACTACCCTGGGTCAGGCTGGATCTGGGAACACCAGCAATTAAGAGATGGTTCCACGCTCCTGAAAACCTCCTGATTAGTGGCCTTGCTGCTGGATGTAGTTTATCGTCTTACCCAGGACGTGGACGTAGTTTAACATCTTACCCAGGGCACCAATCAGTATGATTGGTTGTTGCACTGCATCAGACTCACTCTAAGAAACAATCAACATTATGAAATATTGAACAGGACGAATCACACTATCTAATAATCAGTCAAAATTATTGAGTGCTGCACAGGGTCAATTCCGCTCTCTAAGAACCAGTCAATATCATTGAATGTTGCAATGGGCCAATCTCACTCGCTAAGAACCAATTTGTATCAATGGATTTTGGAACTGATGAAATTTACCAGTCGGTAAAATTGGATATTGCACTGGGCCAATCGCAATCAGGAAAAACTAATCTGTATCATAGGAGATGGCATTTGGTCAATTCCGTTCTCTAAGTTACAATCAGTATCATTGTATGTTGAACTGGATCAATATCACTCTCTAAGAATCAATCAGTATCATTAGTGATAACACAGCCCCATTCTCTAACAACCAATCAACATCAATGGATGATGTACCGGGCCAATCCCACATTCTAACAATCAGTCATTATATTTTATGTAGCATTCGGTCAATCCTGCTCTCTAAGAACAAATCAGTATCATTGGATGTTGAAATGAATCAATCTCACTATAAGAACCAAACAACATCATTGGCTGTTACACTAGGCCAATGCCACTCTCTAAAAACCAACCAGTAACATTAGATGAGACACTGGGCCAATCCCACTCTCTAAGAACCAATCTATTTCATTGGATGTTGCACTGGGTCAATCCCATTCTCTAAACACCAATCAGTATCAGTGGGTGTTGCACTTGGTCAATCCCATTCTGTAGGCACCAATCAGTACCATTGTTTATGCACTGAGTCAATCCGACTCTCTCAGAACCAATCAGTATCATTTGATGTTGTACTTGGTCAATCTAACTTCCTAAGAACCAATCAAGAGGCAGGTGTTACATCAGTGTTTTTCTAGTTCGGCTAAATGGTCGAACACTTGATTTGCGCCTTGAAACCATTTTAAGTATTTCTACATCCCTGTGAATACACAAATACTTCCTAAAATGATGACATGATGTGTTCAGAACCACTGAAAATAAAACAATATATAATTCACAAATCGAATTAACTCCACATTATTCATCTCCTAAATAATGATGAGGCTAAAGATGTAGCGAAAAAATGCTAAATTTAGGAAGATTTTCCTGCTTGCAACTTATTTATTTATTCTGTAGGGTTTAATTCATATCTTAAATCTACACTGCGTGCCAAATTATTATCGAGGTATCAAATATGGTGCCAGTTTGTTTACATTGCGTAGAACAGTACAAAAATTTCAGTGATTACGCAGGTCAGTGTTGCCAACATTGTGTGAAAATTCTGTGTGAATTGATTGAACGGTTTTTGAAATATTATAAAAAAGTTATCTCGATAATAATTTGGCACGCAGTGTATAAGAAAATAAAACAATTCGAATGAACACTTTTCAGATTAAATTAGAACAGGCATTGATTTTTGACTTGTCCTCATGCCAATTCAACATTTGTGTGTCCATTCAAACCCAGAAAATTATGTCTTAATGGTAACAATGTAAAACTGAACACGGCCGGCTAGATAGCAAATTTGAACTAGGTTCGTCAGTACCACTTCCATGTCAGGAATCAAAACCGGGCAGAGTGAATGAGAGATCAGCTACAGAAAGACTGAATTTATGTGCCTTTCTAGGAAGGACATGTACAATAATAAATATGAGTATATCTGTCTTTCTAAAGTTCCCGATCGAGACAAAAATATTACAATAACGAAACGGGACAACAGAATTGGCTTGAATGAATTAAGTTATCACTGTTACCTTGTTTTCTTCACACAACCAAGCCACGTTGAAAGAAGCCACTTCCACTCCAGCTTCTGCGGCCATCATATAGTAAAAAAGTGCCAATTCACTGCGGCAAGAGAAAAATCAATGAATATTAACAAAACAATTATAGTATAAAAAAAATGCCAGTTCACTATGGCAAGAGAAAAATTAATGAACATTAGTAAAACAATTGACATATTTGTTGAGATTTCAAACTCTCACTATTTGTATTTAATATAGTATTATAGCGTTAGACTAAATACAAGTACTGCTCTTCTACAACGTCTGTGTAAATATTAAGTTACCAGGTAGTACAACTTTACATATAAGATCAAACCAAACATGATGATAACTGACTAAAGAATATTAAAGTATTATTAAGTTAGGCTATATAAAAGTTCTAGTAGCCTATGGTTATATATAGTATATAGCTCTGGCGAAGCACATACTATGTAGATAAAGAAAGGATCGTTCGCATCCACTCGATGATCCCAATCACAGTTGATATATATATATATATATATATATATAATATATATATATATATATAATAGATAGATAGATAGATAGATACATACTATATATATATATATATATATATATATATATATATATATATATATATATATATATGGTGCTTTTCTTAACGTAGATTAGCTTAGATGTGACACAAGGTCGAAAGTATGGATTACCCAGTGAAGAATGCTAACCATTACACCATGGCATCTGAGTCATTATCTTATCGGATAATTTAACTTTGTAATTATAAAAATTATATTTGGCATTTAGAATAAACGAGATTTGCATATATATGTGTGAAAAAAATAAATAAATAAATCACTTTTTCCATATATGTATATTATTATGGTCTGGTTCCTTGTACCACGGTGATAGTCCAAGGTAGAACCAATAAAGAAGAACTCGAACACAGGTATGGAATAACACAGATATATTACAAACAGGAAGTAGAAGTGTTAGTATGAACAATCAGGTTTAGTAGAGAGAACAATGTAGTCTCGACCAGTATCACTATTCCAATCTCTTGCAGTAATTGTCTGAACGCGACTCTGTTTCGGACTGCCTCTGACTCGACTCTTGACTCGACTTGAACTACTGACGATTATTCAGTCACGGGTGTCATGTGGCACAAGGCCTTTTTAACGTGGGCATTCCGAGGGTGTGAACCCCGGGGTTCTGGGCGTTTACCTGACTCCGCCCTTCACAAGGCCTTTTTGAACCGAACAGTCAGTTCAGAGTTGGGCATTCCAGAGCCATGGGCATTTCCGGCAAAAAATAAAAATAAACGTGTTCTGGGCCGGTTTTTTGACTGACAAATTTGCCCCCCACGAGGGGTGTCATGGCACAAAACGTGGGCATTCAGCCATTAGGGGGGCCATTTGAACCCGTATAAACGGGTTCTGGGCCAATTTTACCTAGAGGACTCCGCCCCTCGGCGCAGCCTCCTTCAGGTTCCTCTCGCCCGTAGGAAGGGTTGAACCGAACGGAGGTGAACGACTGACAGACGATATTCAGTCACCCCCCCACGAGGGTGTCATGTGGCACAAGGCCTTTTTAACGTGGGCATTTCCGACTCCGAACCCTTCGGCGACAATATTCAGCCTGTCTTCGGGTTGGGCCGATTTACCTCCCCGAAGGAGACTCCGCCCCTGCCTCCTTAGGGAAGAGAGTTGAACCGAACAGTCAGTTCAGAGTTGAACGACTGACTGACGATATTCAGTCACCCCCCCACGAGGGTGTCATGTGGCACAAGGCCTTTTTAACGTGGGCATTTTCCATTTGAACCCCGTGTTTAGGCCGGTTTTCACTGACGATATTCAGTCACCAAAAAGGCCTTTTTAACGTGGGCGTTAGCCCATTTGAACCCGTATAAACGGGTTCTGGGCCGGTTTTTACCTCCCCGAAAGGAGACTCCGCCCTCGTAGCCAGGTTCCTCTCCTGAGGCGCAGTCAGTTCAGAGGTGAATTTATCACCCCCCGAGGGTGTCATGTGGCACAAAGGCCTTTTTAAGTGGGCATGGCAAAAATAGTCCATTGTTTTTATTCGTATGGGTAGGCGCAGTATTTTTAATATATATATGTTATATATATATATATATATATATATATATATATATATATATATATATATAAACCGTATATATACGTAAAATATAAACCGTTATTTATAATAAAAAATGAATCTGGCTCAATCTATTTAAACAGATATGTATTTTTATGCCTACATATAACAATCAATTCAATTCTCTTGTTTAACAAGCTATTGTTATTAAAGTGTTTTAATATAACCAATTCTTCAACAAGATATGTTACATTGATTTCCTTTCCCGTTATAAGATTTAGCTCTTGTTATAATATCCCATTTGATTGATGGCGAGATGCCATCATACTTTAATTGCTAGATAAATAATGGTAAATTCGCATTTAAACATAATATTGCTGATAGAATGGGCACTACTCACTTAAAAGATGCCTACCTACTTTTTAAAGACCATAAACCTAACTTTCAAAATAATATACATTCCAGACTAATAAATCCCTCCAAATCAGAATTAGGGTTAATCTCCAGAAATATTCTTAAAAGAATAAACGCATCTATATTAGAAAATTATCCCTTAAACCTTTGATGATTTGATTTTAAATAGAAGTAATGAGATCATTATAATGGCGTTTAAATTTAATATTCTTAATACTTAATATCACCTTATCTTGTAATGCTCTATAATTAGGTTTGTTGAATATATTTTTATCTTCTGAAGGGGTTTTCTTTTTAAAAATGATAATTTAAATTTAAATTTACCATTATTTAACTAGTAATAACAATATTAGCAAATTTCCTTTAATAATATGTAACACTTCAAAAATTACCTGAATTTAAACTTTAACTATGGAATCAAAATTAAATCTAAATAAATTTAAAATATTTAAATATAGATTATGATTATGAAATGTATATATAATTTATGTATGAAGATGAATGATATTTTGTGTATATTGTTACATGTGTGTCTATGTGTGTATTTGTACTTGTTTATGTGAGTAGGTATGTATAAATTTATAGAAATAGATTTGTGAGAGATATATAAGAAAAACAAAATCTTTAATATTACCCTCTAATACCATTAAATAAAGAAACCTAAACCTTAATTAAACTTACCAATATAACAATAAATAAAAATTGCATTCACAAATTATTTTAGATATTAATATAGATAAATTCATTGTTACCGTAGTTTTCTTCCTATATTGTGAATCACAATGTTTTGGGTAAATGTACTATTACAATTTTAAATATTTCTTTAATATGTTCTCGATAAATAAATATATTTATTACAATAGTAGTTAACTTGTACTAAATCCTAAACTAGTTAATTAAAAATTAAATACTGAATTTAATATCTTCCAATTTTTTAGACGCCTAATTTTCTATCAAACATTGTAATCTATCTTTTACATAATTTTGTTAAAACAAAATTACAATTTCTTTTCGATTCACTTCCGTCTCCCCTTCCTCTTTACCATAAAAATCTTTTGAATATGTCTGTTTTTTTTTCCTTTTTTCTCTCTTTCGATTCACTTTCCTCTCCCCTCTCTCTTCTCTTTGCCATAAAACCTTTTTTTTGAATACGTCTGGGCCTTTTCCCCTTTTTCTCCCTTTCGATTCACTTCCTCTCCCCTCCCTCTTTGCAATAAAACTCTTTTGGATACGTCTGCTTTTTTTTCCACTTTTTTCTCTTTCCTTTACTTTATTTCCTTTCCTCACTATTCCTATATATCACTTCCTTTTCTTTTACCACATAAATAGGTCAAGGTTAGGTCCCCTCCTACCCCCAATTTAAGGCTTATTTAAGAGATGTAAATTTAACCCTCACTATATTTTTGTATTGTCTCTTTAACCGCCACCTTCACCCTCCCTGTTTAATTACAAAATTACACTACCCATCAATTTCTAATCACATTTTTCTTCTCATTTCATTGTTGGAAGTGTTACCTGATGATCGAAATCCTTTAAAAAGGATTTTGGTGAAATAAATTATTGTAATGGTACCTTAAAGTGTCTGATGTTCATTATATATATATATATATATATATATATATATATATATATATATATATATATATATATAAATACAGAATCCTTAAAAAATCCATTAGGTCAGGTTAGAATTTATTTTGTGCACCTCAGACCTCCATCTCTTTAAACCAGTTTTGCATAAATTAATTTTTATTTATTTAAAACTGATTTGAAAAGATGGACGGTTGAGGTTCCCGAATTATAACTTGACCTGATGGATTTTTAAGGATTCTGTATTCATTATTATATTGCTCTGTTCTTACATTGAGCTCTCTTTGTATTAATTTCCTCCTTGGAATTATCCCAAGTAATCATCAAGTGATATATATATATATATATATATATATATATATATATATATATATAAAGGTGATGATTTGTTACTCTTTAATACTGTTGGTAGTATCGTGAGTTTGGACCCCGCTAAGAGTATTTGTTATTGCAGCCTTGTGCCAGACTAACATGATCTCAATAAATATCTTCCAAACTTCACCTTATCGAAATGTAGCTGGTAATTTACAAAGGAAGATTCAACTTACGTGTTGCCATCTCTGTAGGCATGTAGACCTTTCCTTAGCATGTAACCAAGTGCTGGATTCTTTTCGGCAATGAAACGGGCCCACCTTTTAACATCAAAGCACATAATATTAATAAGTAGTCGAATATTTAAAAATGTTTTCATTTTTAATAGACCGTTATGACAATGTGCACTATTGTGCAAATTAATTGAAACACAACGAAAAATTTCGCTATTATTAAGTTTCCCCGTATTTTTCTAATGAAACATGTTGGTACTTTGTTTGTCCATTCCACGATTGGCCACAGATTCCCGATTGGATTTAAATCAGGAAAGTTTCTGGGCCAGTCTATAGTACTTTAATTTGCTCACTAGCAAGGCGTGCCAGTGTGTTCGTGCAGCGTTAAAATTTACCTAAGCTTCCTTGGAGTAACGTGCATCGCAGACAAAAGCCGTATGACAACTAATCGGCAGTCAAGACAATAGTATCTGGGTGTGATGAAAAATCAGATACAATCTCGGATGACGCAATATTTTTCGAGGCCCAAAAATATCATCATACCCCTCGAAAATAAATTCATATTACTGCACACTACTGCAAATGACTTAATCTGGGGAAAAATAGAAATCGATTACATACTATCAGTCCAGTGGGTGTAAAACTGACCGTAATGGTGCTGATTAAATAATATTAATCCCTGGATTGACAAGAACCTGATGAAAGCCAGAGAAGTCAACTGTCGAAACGTTGTGATCATAACAACAAATATAAGTACAATGTAAATAATTTAAGGTCCTACTAATATCTACCATCCATTTTCTACTATCGTATGATATCAACTATTCATTTTCTACTATGATATTTACCAACTGCTGGTAACATTAAATATGTTAGGGTTAGGGTTAAGGGTTAGGATTAGGGTTAGGGTTAAAGGCAGTGAACAGTGATCTGGTTATGTATTAAAATTATTAACAATTTTTATACAAAAAAATTTAAAATAATCAAATAGTGACTTTAATATTTGTAAACTGATTTGATGTCATTTAAAAAAAGAAAAAAAAGAAAAAAGGTTAACAGGTCATCGTTATTCCTGAACATTTTCCAGCAATAATGGGTGCATCGTTATTTCCGGTAGGTCGCAAATGCCTTGGTAGATACCAGACTCTAGTAGCACCAATAAAATATATAAAACCGGATAAAGAACTTTAAATAATATTACAAAATTACAAATAATAAATAAAGATAATCCTTTTTAAGCCCCACCTATCAAAAAAATCCACATGAAATCAAAAAATTAAAAATATAAAAATTTTAGCAAATTCATTATGAAATCATTGCAAAAATATCAGAGCTCTGCAAAAGTTGCTCCATGATTTTCATTGTTTTTAATTTTATAATCAGGTGTGACCCCAACCCGGAGCCAGGATAGAATCGAGAGCAAGCAATCACTTGCTGTTTGTTTTTTGGGGCTTTTTTTTATTAAGATGGCTTGATGGTGTTGGCAAAAACAACCAATGTCGGGGTATGTCTACAAAGGCATGAACTTGGGAATGATTCACGCAGACGCCTCAAAGATAGCGATAGTTATTCATTGGTAAAAGAAGCTACCTTTATTGGTTCGACAGAAGCGGCGATGCATGCAACGCTGTTGGCTAGACACGGCACAGCCAGACGGCACTCTCTGTACACTCTGTGGTGAAACCCTACCAAGTGGGGAATCGAACCCCGTCCCCCGCAGTGAAAGCAGAGAACTTACTAGACCACTTGGGAGGGCTTCTTTTATATAAGCAGTCACACTGCCTAAAAATAGCATATCTGATCCTTGTTCGATCTGCATTATACCGATTTAAAAAATTTAAATCAGCAACAGACTTCACTTCAGTTACTAATACTGTCATTTAACCAATTCCAGTCCAGTTTAGTCGGTGACCTAATTACTAGTAAATAAGTCGAAGAAGAGTCGTCCGAAGGTCACACAGGCACTAACGTTTGCAATGATCAAATATATATATATATATATATATATATATATAGAGAGAGAGAGAGAGAGAGAGAGATGCATTCTTGGGAAAAAAAGCTCGAATTTGTAAACAATGATTATTACTGCAAAGCCCTTCCATGAATTGAGCTCTCTCAGTCATTGGGCTGTTTATTCGAAGAATAAGTACGTAAAAATTAGCCTACCTCTCAATCGGGCGCTGATAACTCAGGGGTAAATCTCCGCCTGACGCCAAATCAGTCAGGTTTCGATCCCCGCTTGAGGCAGTCGGATGTCTATCCACACTTATGAGCTGTGATACAGCGAAACAATCTGTCCCTTAAATGAACATATATATATATGTGTGTGTGTGTGTGTGTGTGTGTGTGTGTGTGTGTGTATTCGAGTCTCTCGTCGTATTTGACGTATGAGGATCAAGCAGCTCAGTTCCTAGGAACTGACAGCCAGACACCAGCAAATGTAATTTGATTATAGTGGTGAAGTTTTTGTGCAGAAATATACACACGTTTTGAAGGGTTGCATACAGGTCCCCAAACAACCTTCCGCAAGATTTGAATTCAGAGTTTTCCCTCTGATAGACCTGTTTCCATCCAAGGCTATAGAACCCAGTCTGTCTTGCTATTTACCCATAGCTGGAAGCAGAAGAGTGTCCACACCTTTCCCCAAGGTTATTACCATGTAAGTGAATGTAATGAATTCGACTGGAATTCGAACTCGGCTCTCCGATTCCTCAATCGAGCCGCTAACCACTATATATATATATATATATATATATATATATATATATATATATATATATATATATATATAATTCAATCCAAGCAAAGCGATAATGCCACTAAGACGCAAGGGGCTACATGGAGTGAAAAACAGTGGGAAGACATCCGAAGGAATCGGAAACCCTAACCTAAACAAGAATAAAAGATCTAAAATGCTACCCCTGTACAAAGGACCGGAGAGCAGTGTAAACCGGATGATAGACGAACCTTTTATTAGTATTTGAAAATCTGTTATATATATATATATATATATATATATATATATATATATATATATATATATATATACAAACATTCGGATCCGAAATACTCACTCCACAGCAATGCTTTCCTGTCTTGGAAGGTTGTCCGTTCCCCGCATGTTCTGATATGCAACCATAAGACCTGCTTCAACCTGACCCATACTGGCTGCCCAGACAAAGTAATTGTATGCAACATCCTGCAAATAAGCAAAAGTACAAGTGATAAACTCAAATAATAAGCCTTCTTTTTTTTCTTCCAAAAAACAGAACTAATTTCACGAGGAATCGTTAAAACAGGAAGAAAGTAATAATTTAAATCAGATCTGAAATAAATTCCAGCAATTTCCATTTTTTTTTAAATACAATGAAACAAATATAATACTTGTCGAATAAGGAACAAGTTGTCAATGGTTCAACTAGAAAATTGAAAATCCTATTATATATCAATTAAGCAAGCGAATATGTTGTCCTGAACAGGATATCGACAGAAGTCGATCTTAATTTACTATGATAATGATGTACGTTAACATCTTCAATTAATTAAAATCAAAAGTAATTAACAGCTGTATTATTGTTATTATTGTTGCTGTTTTTTTATCATTTGACCCCAAGCAAGGCAATAAAACCACTAGGACACATGAGGTTACTGAGTGTGAAAGAATACGAAAAAAGAAAACCAGTATTAAAGATAAAGAACAGTAAAAGAGGAATTAAGAAGACAGAAGATAACGATTAACATTTCATTTAAATCAAATTTGCTTTGAAAGCAAGAAGCCAGAAGAAAGTTACACAAATGAGAAGTGCGAGAAAAGAAACTGTTAGGATATAACTTATGGTTACATCTGCAAATTAATGAGACCTAGCTGCAAATCTAGTACTGCGCTTAAATTCATAAAGTGTATGTAATATAGAGGAAAGTTCATCAGAACAATTACCATCAAAGTGTTTATAGAAAAGGCATAGGTAAGCTACATTACGGGGGTGAGAAAGCGGTTGAAGCCGAGATGCCAGATCATGACCAATAACATAGCGGATTTTTTATTATTATTATTATTATTATTATTACATTTTAATCTATAAGCATTTATATCATATCTTATAGCATTGGTTATAGCAAATATATATTTATATTTAAGTCTGCCTTCATAAGTAAGTAGTTAATGTAATTTATAAATGGGTCTTTAATAATTTACTTTACGGTTTGGAGGTAGGTAATTATTTCATTTATATCTTTTTTGGGGGAAGTGTGAACATTGATTATTTAGATGTGAGTCTCTAAGTATTCACTTGGCTTGAAAATAAGTAATGGTAAATGGAACCCCTTTTGGGAAAAGGCATACACCTCTGCAGTTCCCTAATCATAATGTAACGAAATTAATAACCGGCAGCTCAAAAACGTTTCTTTCAAATATTATTGATATTAGACAGTTTGATTTTATAGACACCATTTGAAAAAGTGTTAATTTCTGAACACGGTGACATGTATTAAATTTTTAAGGGTGCATACAACCTGCGGAAGTAACGTTCGATTTGATCAAAATTGGAGAACAAACGAATCTAAATACTGTAAACAGGAAAGAGATATTTCTCGGAATTAAACATTAAAGTTTGTAAGATTTACCGTAAAACGAACAAGTCTCATGACCCTTGTAATTAAATATAAAATTAACACTGGTAAATGACGTTGAGAAGAGTTAACATCGGAATATTGATCTAACAATTTAAGTCCTTTTTGATGTTAATATAACGCGTCATCCGGTAAGACTACATTTAACAATGTTCTTAATATTGATCACTTATGAGAGAATATTTTGACAAAGAAAACTGCATTTATAACATACTCTGCAGATGTGGTAAGGTATATCAGGAACGAATGACAAAAGGAACATTAGTGAGGTGAAAGCTGAGATGAAAATATTTAGCATGGTGAACCATATCCGGAAAAAGAAAGGTTCATATTATTCCCTCTGGGTGTTGGCTATCATCAAGGAGTGTCGCTGGAGAATGAAAAAGCTGAAGGATGCGCCGTATATTGGTTTGTTAATCAGATATTTAACTGAAAATTGTACGAGTTTTGAATACAATTTGATTTTCTTTACTTACCCATGTGCATGATAACGTATTCTTCTGAGTATAATTTGCAATCGCATAAGTGCAATATGTAGAGATGGGTTAATCAGCTTGCTATACTAATAAGCATTTTCTTCAACTATTTTTACATGTTTCAACAGTACGGTCCGAAGAAGGAATCGGCCGAAATATTTTGTTAGCAACAGCAAAAAGCATATGAAAACGCGCATACAAAGGAAAGGAAATTGCGGAGAGCCTTGATCAACCTCCCCAACAAACATGTGTAATTGGATGGCAGAATAGGGACTGAGAGGGGTCGCAAGAAGACAGATATTGCTTAGAGCTACAAAGGAGAGGAAGTCGCGGTGAGCTATGATCAACCTACCCAACAAACACGTGTAATTGGATGAACATGGATAGAGAGGGGTTGTAAGAAGGCAAATATTATTTGGAACTACAAAGCAGAGGAAGTCGCGGAGAGCCATGATCAACCTACTCAACAAACACGTGTAAATCGATGGCAGAACAGGGACTGAAAGGAATAAAAAAAAACAAGAGCTAAGATTATAACGGATAGAAAGTTGTGGAGAGCTATGATCCCTCATATCTTGCGCGGACACGAAATATAAAAGCAAAAATGTGTATACATGACTGGTTTAATATTCCGACTGTTCTCTCTGCTAATGAAACGAATCATATAAAGAATCACAGGAAGTGATTACATATTTTTTAACTTCCCGCGTGGAGAAATGAAAAAGCTGAAGTATGCGCCGTATATTGGTTTCTTAATCAGATATTTAACTGAAAATTGTACGAGTTTTGAATACAATTTGATTTTCTTTGCTTAGCCATGTGCCTGGTAACGAATTCTCCTGAGTATAATTTGCAATCGCATAAGTGCAATCTGTAGAGATGGGTTAATCGGGTTGATATACTAATAAGCATTTTCTTCAATTATTTTTAAATGTTTTATCAGCACGGTCCGAAGAATGGATTGGCCGAAACAGTTTGTTAGCAAGAGCAAAAAGCACACGAAAATGCGCATAAATTGTTTAAACAATACTTTGCATGTAAAGCATATTAGATTAGGTTTGGATTAGTGAATTTTACTCTATATCAACACTTGTTGTGTCATGTAATGTTCTTTTTTATAATTATGTTGAGAAATAAAGGAAAGTTGGTTCCCTGTGTCGCGCCAGACGTTTTTTCTCGCCTGAGTCCATCCTACAAATCTACCATTGGTCCATGCATTGAATACTGTTGCCATATATAGTCTGGTGTTCCTGCTTTTCATCTCGAGGTCCTCGACTTAAATTCAGAAACCGCTACGCAATGTGATAGGTCCTGATCTGGCATCTCGTCTACAGTCACTCTCTCACAGATGTGCTCTGGTTTCCCTCTGTCTTTTCTGCAACTTCATAGCAACTGCTCTGACTAGCTACTTTCACTGCTACCCCAACTGGATGAATTTAAGCGTGCTACTAGGTTGGCATCTTGGTCCCACCCTTTCACTGTCGAAACAGTTAAATGTAACCGCCTCTTCTACTCATATAGCTCTTTCTCTCACACTTCCCGACAATGGAACTCTTTTCCTTCTACTTATTTCCCTGATAGCTATAATCTTCAAATATTCAAATGTAATGCCAATCGACATCTTCAGATGACTTGATCCCGATTCCCGCTCGTCTCTATATCCTTTCCTCCAACACCTCTCTCTTTACTCTTGCCCTCATTCTCTGTAACCCCTTGCATGCTAGTGACACTCCTGCCTTGCTTGGTGTGAAATGCTTAAAAAAAAAGAAGATAAATACGTCTCGTGTCTATACGTTTGTTTTTCGTTGCTACTGACAAATCCTCTACCTTTAGAAGATCAGGCCAAAGATGGAATACAGTTCTCATATTTGGCTGAGAGCTGCTCAGATCTTACTCTCCAATTTTGATAGCGTTCAAAAGCGCCTCCGAGCTTTTTTGGGTGACGAACTATTCTCCACCCTTCAACCTCTCTCCCACAGGCGGTATGTAGCAAGCCTCACGCTGATCTACTTCCACGGAAAGTGCTCGGACGAACTACATCCCTTGTCCCGCTGAGACAAACCTTCACAGCAACAACACGCCATGTCACTTAAATGGCAGAAAACCACGCACATTCCCTCTGTAACCCAATAGTACGAGTTTTGAATACAATTTGATTTTCTTTGCTTAGCCATGTGCATGGTAACGGATTCTCCTGGGTATAATTTGCAATCGCATGTGCAATCTGTGAAGATGGGTTAATCGGGTTGATATACTAATAAATATTTTCTTCAACTATTTTTAAATGTTTCAACAGTACGGTCCGAAGAATGAATCGGCCGAAATATTTTGTTAGCAACAGCAAAAAGCATACGAAAATGCGCATACAAAAGAGAGGAAGTTGCGGAGGGCCACGATCAACCTCCCCAACAAACATGTGCAATTGGATGGCAGAATAGGGACTGAGAGGGGATAATAAAAGATAAAAGCTAAAATTAAAACGGATAGAAAGTTGTGGATAGCTATGATCGCTCATATCTTAAGCGGACACGATATATAAAAGAAAAATATGTGTATACATGACTGGTTTAATATTTCGGCTGTTCTCTCTTCTAATGAAACGAATCATATAAGGAGTCACAGGAAGTGATTACATTTTTTTTCGCGTGGAGGAACACATGAAACACCATGACATCGTTTTCCTAGCAATTAAAAATCTATAATATTCAATATCACCAGTCTTTGGTGATATTATTATAACTCTAATAATCTTTTATTTTCTCTTAGCTTTGTAAAAGTCCTGGTATATATTGTCTATGCTTCTGATAGGGATCGGAAGAATACCATTATTATATTTCTAAATCCGTATAAATTGCAACTCACCGCGTTTGCCTTTCTTTGGGGATATATTCCAGTAAAATGCATGTGGCCAAGGTGATAGCCAGCGTCCGGGTTGCCCATCTTATAGGCTTGTTCAAAATAATCAGCTGCTAAGGTATAGTTCTTGTCATTTTCAAGTGCAAACCATCCGAGAGCATTAAGAGCTTGCGGGTTTTTCTGCAATCAGAAAGAAAAAATAATAGGAAAACAATTTTCACATCCTTATCTGCAATTCGAATATATTTTTTGATGTTTTTGTTTGGTTGGTTAATTTTGTTTTAGTTTCTACTTTATTTTTGTTCTTTTTATATGATTAATTCTATATTTGAGAAGATACAAAAAATGTAGAAAAAATGGTAGCTGCAAAGAAAGAAAGAAAGAAAAAAAGACAAAAATTGTAGACCAAGAAATAAAGAAATAGAAAATCAACGAAAGAAAGAAAGAAAGAAAGAAAGAAAGAAAGAAAGAAAGAAAGAAAAAGATAAGAGTGGTTGACACAAAGATGAAGAAATAGAAGATCAAAGAAAGAAAGAAAGAAAGAAAGAAAGAAAGAAAACGATGAGAGTGGTTGACACAGAGATGAAGAAATAGAAGATCAAAGAAAGAAAGAAAGAAAGAAAGAAAGAAAGAAAAGAAAGAAAGAAAGAAAACGATGAGAGTGGTTGACACAGAGATGAAGAAATAGAAGATCAAAGAAAGAAAGAAAGAAAGAAAGAAAGAAAGAAAAAAGAAAGAAAACGATGAGAGTGGTTGACACAGAGATGAAGAAATAGAAGATCAAAGAAAGAAAGAAAGAAAGAAAGAAAGAAAGAAAAAAGAAAGAAAACGATGAGAGTGGTTGACACAGAGATGAAGAAATAAACGATCAAAGAATGAAAGAATGGGATGGGACATAAAAGAAAGATAATAAAAAATAAAAAAAAGCACAACAACTGTTGGAGACTGTTCCTGCTACATTCCTTATTTGTTTAATTGGGAATCGAGTGCCATCCTGAAGATAGTTTAATCTAGCAGTGATCGAAACCTCCACGTGAGAAAGTAAAAAAACAAACCCTAAAATAATATCAAGAACTGAAATCGAAGTAACTATATATATATATATATATATATATATATATATATATATATTTGTGGATATACCAACGGCTTCCCATACTTAATACTTCTTGTTTTCACTCTCGCGTGGTCATATGTGACTTCATGGGCTGCGGTGCGATTTTCGCTTTCAGCGTCTAGTATGCACGATTTTGTCGTTGCTTGGAATTCTTTCATGCAAACAAAAACAGACTTTCATTATTGTTATGCCCGTGTAGTGTTTAATATATTGTAATGTAATTGTCATCTTTGATAATGGCTTATGTAAGCCGAAAGCTTAGATAGGATTAAAACATGTATTAATATGTGTAGAATAACAATACAGTAAACGACACTTACCGGCGTAAGAGTTCCAGCTAGCGTCCAGCTGGCAGACAAAAATAAAGCAGGTTGTAACTTAATACAAACCCCGCAAACTAACTGAAATTAAGCTGGTATTTATATAGAAATACTTCCACTCAGGTACCAGCAGCCAATCAAAGCCCAAGCAATGGACTATCCCACTTTAGCATAATGAGACGCTCCATTGCACCATAAATAACTCTCTTCCTCAATGTTGAATCAGTCTTCACTCAGCTTGCTCCACAACTGAGTGTTTATATTGACCACGTATTGTTCAACATGGCGCTGCGAACAGGATTTATGACACCTGAAAATTGGGAACTCTTCTTCATTGAAGCAGGCATATCCACCGACTCGGCCAAAACTCATGCAACAAGGTTTGCGGACGAGAAGCTGACAATCGAGAGCCTTCAAATGCTGGATCGATCTATGCTTAAGGAGCTGGGAGTCACATTAATGGGAGAAGCCCTGTGTATCATTAAGCAGGCTAAGGAATCCGCCACCCAGACAACCCGCATTCAGGCACTAGCAGCCAAGCCTCCTCATCTCAATCTCGAGATGACACCACAGCAATTCAGGAAGTTCCGAATTGACTGGGATGTCTTTACCAAGATGACAAATATGCCAAACTCCCAAGCTAATATTCACCTATACAATTGTGCTGATGAGGCTGTGCAAAACGCCATAATCAACACACACCCTGACTTCTTTACCACTGATCCAGATAATCTACTTGACATGGTAGAAGTGTTGGTCACCCAGAGGTCAAGTCCTATTGTCCATCGCCTTGCTTTTGCCTCCATGTCTCAGGATGCTGATGAGCCAATACAAAGTTACCTTGTCCGCCTCAGAACCATAGACTACCAACACCTGAATTCACAGTGCAAACGGGAAACACACCATACAGGGTCACCATTCCAGCTAGCACTACAAGTGCCACCTAAACAAAAGAAAACAGTGTTGGATGCTGTTGATGGATATCATTCCATCCCCTTAGATAAAGAGTCCCAGCCACTCACCACCTTCATCACAGAATGGGGAAGGTTCATGTACCTGAGGATGCCACAAGGTTACCTAGCATCTGGCGATGCCTACACCCGAAGGTATGATGAAGTAATAAAAGACATCCCCCGCAAAGTAAAAATCGTGGATGACACCCTACTCTATGACTCTGACATCGAAGGAGCCTTTTTTCACACCTTCGATCATCCGTGGAATAGCAAATGACACACTCCAGGCTGACCTACTGGCCAAAGCTGGGGCACTTAAATCCCTTGAACAAAATATCCGTCATGCTGAGGCATTTGAATCAGCATTGCGGGACCAAACCTCAATGGCCAGTGCTTCAGATACAGCTGCTGCTCTGCTATCAACATACCGCAGACAGAAGGGTTCACCACAAGCCAACGAGGCGATCCGTACCAGTACCTATTGCAACTGCAATGTTAAATCAAACCACCAGGCTTGCTTTAGGTTGTGGCAGCCACCAGCATGGCTCCTCAGGAACTGAATCACGCCGGCTAAAATGCCCAGCATGGGGACAAACATGTAGTAATTGTGGGAAGCCCAATCACTTATCGAGGGTATGCCGGGCTAAGAAACCAGCTCAAGCGGTCAGGAAAAGCCTAGAGGCTAATGAAGCCGCCATGGACACACTTATCCCACATCACATTCAATCAAACGACAGGCACGTATACATCTAAAGACACAGGTCAGATAAGGGAAATTGAGGCATATGTTGTTCCATTTTCGCCAAAACCGGATCCCAGACAAATTAAGAATATCCCCAGAAATCACAGCACTAGGATGACAATCTTTCCTGACAGTGGGGCCACCATATGTCTCGGGGGACTTAAGCACCTTCTGAATATGGGGCTCACTATCAACAACCTCATTCCATCAAGAAAAGTCGTCCGAGCTGTGGGAGGCTTTACGCTTGTATGTCAGGGTTGGCTCCCCGTGGAATTCATCGTCCAAGGAAGAGAGTTATTTATGGTGCAATGGAGCGTCTCATTATGCTAAAGTGGGATAGTCCATTGCTTGGGCTTTGATTGGCTGCTGGTACCTGAGTGGAAGTATTTCTATATAAATACCAGCTTAATTTCAGTTAGTTTGCGGGGTTTGTATTAAGTTACAACCTGCTTTATTTTTGTCTGCCAGCTGGACGCTAGCTGGAACTCTTACGCCGGTAAGTGTCGTTTATTGTATTGTTATTCTACATCTCCTTCTTTCTTTCGTCTTTTAATGATAATGTTGTTAAGCTTATCAGACGATATGAAAAGAATTTACATAAAATAAATAGACAAGACTTGTCTATATTATTTAATGAAATTTATATATATATATATATATATATATATATATATATATATATATATATATATATATATATACGCGTGTGTGTGTAATAGTCCATCGCTGAACAAGTTGAATTTCCTAATTTTCTCGTTGAAAGCTTCTATAGCTTTTTAATAACCATCTTCAGAGATGAGATTTTTCCAAAAACATGTTGAGTGTCAGTTTCATCAAAAAATTAAAAAAAAGATTAATAAATGAATAAAGCTATATTAATGAAATTATTTTTCAAGAAAATTCTAAAACTACTGTGACAATTTTAATTTCACACAGAATTTTCAATTTCTCAAGAGTATATTTAATTTATGTAATTCTCAGCGTTTTGATTTTAATTCTGTGATATTGAAAAAAAATCAACTTTTACATGAGTTATCAGTAATAAAAGCGATTTTTGTTAAGGATGAGTTCTCTCTTAAAAACTTTAGAGGTTATTTATAAAGGGACATAACTCTTTCTTTCCTGGCCATAAGAACAACACTAATAATTACATATTTTACATAAGTTTCAGTTAATATTAAGGTTGGGTTTCTGGAACAACAAATAGAATTATCAACTCTTATACAAGTGTCAGATTCCTGACAAAAACATTATACATATGGAGAGGCTTCTAATGGGAAGGAAGAGGGCAAAGTACTCGAAGCTATTGAAAGAATGCGGACGCAAAGGTTAGAGAGTGGGAAGCGATGCAGAAATGAAGGAACTCTCAGGCCAGTTAAAAATTCGAATACCATCAAAGCAATCACTAAGGCAAAAGAAGCCGCTTCAAGATGGCTGTGAATCAAGACAGGATGGTGCACACTTATCGCGCCCAAAATCAATTTAAGAAAAGGAAACTTGTTGGTTAACGTTTCTGTAAAATACGGACCACATTCATTTGTTTTTTTTTTAAACACAAATAAATGTGATCCGTATTTTACAGAAACGTTAGCCAAAAGACTTTTTCTAAGATTTTCAGTTTTGAGTATGCCATTTGATTTTCTTTCTGGATGTAGTAGAAAGTATAACCACGTCATAGCCAAAAGAAATGTTTTAGCAAAATTCTTCTTCACCTTGTGTAACTTCAGGACATGGCTCCCCACAACTTCTTATTCTTTATAGATCTAAGCAATATTTAACTACGTACATCCCCTCCCAGTCCATGTCTAGCTATCCATTTAGACAGATTCATCAGGTAAATGACTCACTGATTCTCTCTATCTGTCCTCCCGGTAATATGTCTTGTTAGTGCCAAATTCTCCTAGCCCTCTTTCCTCATTTTGTGTCCAAGAAATTTCAGCTATATCTTTCTAATTCTAAGTAAAATTTTCTTTTTCTTTTCCTAAAAACTTCCACATTTCTCACATGTTCCATCAATAGTATTCTAAGAATCCTTCTGCAGAACCATATTTCCCTTAGCCTATGGTATGTGAGAAAATTGTCTGCTTACGTCGTCTTCGCCGTCATAGTTGCAGGCTTTCGGTTATCTTCATGGTTGTTCAGGCCAACGATCCATTTTTAGGCAAGTATGGTATCCAAAAAGATCTTGAATGACTGTAGAGGAGGTTTGTCTCTATGCGACATCTTTGACGGCATTCAGCTGCATGCTGAAGCAACCTTGCTTCTATGGGTTTGAACAGCATCCAGAAAGAAACATTGCCAACTTGATACTCGTCCAGGTACAATTGATCACACTCTTAAATTTACATATTATTACAATGATTACAACCTCAAAATCATAAACTGAACTGAACCTATTGCCTTTTGTCACTATTGACAGCAAAAAAGCAAGTATGCGTCAAAATAACGCAACCCTTTGTCTATCAACTTACTTATACAAGATTATACCCTTGTGCAGAATAATTGAAACAAAACGAATACTCCCGTATTTTCCCAATGAAACAATTCCCAGTGCACATGTTAGTACTTCGTATGTCCATTCCACAAAGTCTTTCCTTGCAGATTGACCACAGATTGTCGATTGGATTTAAATCAGAAGAGTTTACGCGCCAGTCGATAGTACTTTGATTTGCTCACTGGCAAGGTTTACGATTGTGTTCGTGCAGCGTTACAGTTTGCGTACGCTTCCATCGCAGACAATGGCCGTAAGACAACTAATCGACACTCGAGACATAAGTGTCTGGGTGTGATGATAATCTGATATAAGCACGGATGACGCAGCATTTTTAAAGGCCAAACAAATTTCATCATACACCTCGAAAATAGATTCATATTACTGCACACCACTGCAAATGACCTAATCTAGGGAAAAAAATAGAAATCGATTACACCCTGTCACTCCAGAGGTTGTTTCAATTAATTTGCACACGGTGTATATTTGTTCTCTCTCCACTATATCATTTTCTTATATTCACTAGCATGTAGTATCCTTTTGCGTCTTAGTGGCTTTATTGCCATGCCTAAGTTAAAATGATTTTAAAAAAATTAGATATTCAGTGGATTCAGAACTTGGAAGGCGGTTTCTAATGGATGGGTACAAGAAGTCTCTGTTGATGTGGTCGTATCCTGTTAAAAGGTTTACATAGCAGGTATACAATTTTCTATAGGACAGGTAAGCAATTTCTTAAAGATATTTGATTATATATAAAAAAAATATAGGGTGTGATGAATACATTGTCGACATTTTATATTTTTAATTTCATGCATGCAGGTTAATTGTTTTTGATTTTGTCAACTTGCGGAGCGGAGCAAAATCAGTTGGGCACCGTCTGTGAGAAAAATAGTCCCATGATGCAATTCACTGCACTAGAAATTCGAAACAGTATGCTGTGCTGCTTAACATTCGTGCTGGGAATCCAATAAAAACATTTCAGAGTATTTGGGTGTCAATCTGTTATGTATGTTATACATACAATTATAAGACATTCAAAAATCACATAAGTAAATACTAAACAAATAAGACTATGCCAGCCAAATATAAATCCTATTAGTACTTATTGATAGGTACAATCTTATCGATATAAGACACACGAATAACACCGTTTTGATGTCATATATACAAATAAACTTCAACAACTGCAAGAAAATAGTAAAAGAAAGATAGAAGAAAGGACTAATCATTAACTGTAAGAATATACAATATATGGTTGTCAGCCAAGAGGATCATCTCTGGATGTGAGGTACAATTTAGAGGTGTCAGAATCAAGCATGTGCTAAAACTTGAATATCTGGAAAGTGTTTTAACAGAGAATGAAAAATGTGACAACGAAATCGGAATGCACATTAGAATAACAAAAGGTGCCTTCCAAAAGCCTCCTTTCTCATCCCGTGTCCCAGAAATTTCATCTGCCTCTTCCTTATCGTAAGCATAAGCTTCCTCCTTGTTTGCATTCTCTCCAAGACCCCATCATTGCAAATTACAGCCTTAATACCTACGTTTACTTTCGTACAAATACCATCGAAGAAAGCATGATTCCATCTCTTCTCTCAGGGGTTTTTAATCATTTCACTCAAAGGAAAGCAATATGGCCACTAAGACGCAAGGAGTTACTAAGTATTAGAGAATATGAGAGAAAGAAACACTATTAAGGAAAGAGAACAAGAAAAAACAAACAAGAATTAAGAAGACACATGATAATAATAGACACTGCATTTAAATTTTTGAAGATCAAAGGAGACTTGGAAGCAAGAAGCCGGAAGAAAAAAAACAAGACGTTTTTGCATAGAATTTACGATTGCATCTAGCCAACTCAACTGTAAATTGATGAAAACTTCTTGCCAACCAAGAAAGGCGCTTAAATTCATATTTCTATTTTTTCATTGAGAAAAGTTCATCAGAATTATCATGAAAATATTTATAGAAAAGGCAGAGGGAAGCTATATTACGGCGCTGGGAAAATGACTGAAGCCGAGATGCAAGGTCGGGACTAATAAAATTGCAGATTCCTCTTTAGATTTTGTCAAGAATCTCTAATTATATATGAGGAGCACCAAACCAAATGCGACATTTAAAATGATTGTGATATAAATAATTAGCCATACAGTTTAGATCGGGCTGTCCTTTGGTCACCTCTAATATGAAAAAATCTACAAAATACAGTCGGATGAGTTTAAAAGAGACAATTTTCAAATTTAAAAAAAAACATGATGGGAAAATCTTTTTTTTAGATAAATTACCTTTTCAGCCGCTTTTTTGATTTGGTGAAGTCCTTGCGAGATGTCCTTCTTTGTTCCTTGACCCTGTAACGAAGCAAAAACGCCTCTTTAATTATTGTCATGATAAGATGCTATGTTGAATAATATTATTAATGTGTGTCTCCAATTTTCACGGTGTAAATTTGACACCTCAATTTTACAAAAGAATTTATGAATCATGTGAAAAACTTAATTTCTACTGTCAATATATTTCTGCCGATCAAAAGAGGAGGAACTAATTCTTATGTAAATATTATTCGCACATTTCAATTAAAACCTGTGATATTTGCGTTTAAAATACTCTCTAATTTGGGAATCATAAAAACACGTCCAATTAATAAAAAATCTCCCGAAATCCATTTACTGGATTTTAATAAAACTTTGACATTTATTTAAAAGAGAACATATATATATATATATAACGTCATCCACAGACAGATTGTTTCGCAGCTCATCAGTGTGGCTAGACATCCGGTTGCCTCTAGCTAGGATCGAAATCCGACTGAATTGGTGTCAGGCGGAGATTAAGCTTAGAAACAAGCCCAGTGACCGACAGTGACTCAATTCGCATCTGCGAAGAGTATATATATATATATATATATATATATATATATATATATATATATATATATATATATATATATATAGTGGAACACGCCTATTCTATTGTTAATAGACTCTCCCACCTATAATAAATAGGAGTAGTAGGAGTCGCTCAGTGGTTCGGTCAGTCAGTCGATGCCGGACGACCGTTAGTCGGATACTAAAGTATCAGCGACCACCACTAGATTTCTCTGCGTCATTACCTATTATATGAAGTTCCTAACGTTTTGTACGTTGAACCTTTTTTTAGGACCGACTTAGTACAAATACATGCCTCCACTGTGAAACCACTCCATATATATATATATATATATATATATGAGTAACGAAAATCTTGGTAATCTGTATGGATAATCTCAAGTAGGATGAAATCCTGAGAGCTCAATGTTAATTCAGAGCTAATAATTTAAAGAAAAGCAGACCACTTTAAGGCTCCATTGTAATAGTTTATTTCACCAGGGACTTTTAATTTTCTCTGGATCCTCAGACATCACTTTCAAAAGGTGAAACGAAAAATGAAATTAAAATTTACACTTATGACGGGCAGTATTAAGCTTATAGAAGGTGGCGAGGAATGGTGTGAGATACATGGTCGAGTTTAGAGAGGGAAGGGAGAATTTTAAAATTTATTTTTATATTTCTTTCTATTATAATACTTAATATTGAGGAAGGAGGGGGTAATGATCGGACATTGACCTATTCAATCGGTCAACTCAACAGAAATGATATGTGGAAAGGGAAGGAGAAAAAGGCAAAAAAAAAAAAAAAGGGGAAATAAAAGAAAAGAGATGTACTTAGAGTTTTCGGAGGAAGAAGAGGGGTGGTATAGCTTTAGCAATTTAGATAAAAAATATGTATGTGTGTGTATATATATATATATATATATATATATATATATATATATATATATATAGAGAGAGAGAGACGGACAGACAGACAGAGACAGAGAAAAACAGAGAGATTAAAATCCACAGTTCTTAACATTTTCTTTTATAAAAAGTGCTCAATACAATGTAGACCGAAATATTATTATAATATATTTATTATAATATTTTACATCGCTACACAAACATTTCCGTGTTTCGGAACTGTAAAAATTGTCCCTTGTCAGGCGATGTTAGGTAACTTATGATGAAAATGATTTACTTGGGAAATCAGAAAACAAATCGGTAGCTTATTTGGGAGTTAAAAAGGGGCGGGAAAAACCAAAATTCCTAAATTAAAAAATACATTTGTGGGTATGTCTTGATTAACTAATCAAAAGACGGATCAAAGCTAAAATAGAAAAATGTTGAATATGGTCAGAAAGTGTAGATATTATTTCCTCAAGTCTCGATTTGGGTTTATGGTTAGCAAGTTTCTCTCGCTAGATCAATGTACGACTCAGTAGTGATTTCAATCATCGCTAGATGTCTCCTAATTTTTGCTAAATCTGAGCTACATTTCTGAAATCATTTTTGGGGCACTTCGACGTGATATAATAGTTAGAGAGCATGTCTTTCTAGATCAATTTACGATTAAGTAGTGACTTCGAACCTCCACACTTTCGGCCTTTTGCCACATCTAAACTACATTTATTTAAAAGAATATATATATTTCGTTCCTTGAACCTGTAACAAAGCAAAAATGCCTCTTTAATTATTGTCAAGAGAAGATGTTATATTGCATTATATTATTGGTATCTCCAATTTTCACGGTGTAAATTTGACACCTGAATTTTACAAAAGAATTTATGAATCATGTGAAAAACTTAATTTCTACTGTCAATATATTTCTTCCAATCAAAAGCAGTAGGAACTGAATCTCTTAAATCATTTTGGAGCACATCGACGTGATGTAATGGTTAGCAAGCTTGTCTTTCTAGATCAGTTACGATTGAGTAGTGAGTTCGGCCCTCTTGGTGCTCCACACTTTCTGCCTTGTGCCGCATCTAAGATCCTCTTAGAGTATCGCTATAGAATTTGCCGGATCGCAAATCGACTGACGAGAGAAGTAAATTGGAACAAAAGTCTTTTATTCTTTGAATTGCAGCAATTGTATTTGGAATAAATGCAAATATATTTAAAATATAAATGCATATGATTTCAATAAATATATTTCCAAATTTGAATAGCCGTAAAAAAAAGCACTTACCCTCATTAGCACAACGCCGTAATCATACATAGCGGTCGGATCTTCTGTCTCAGCGCTCATTCGGAAATATTCTATGGCTGCGTCCATGTTTCGTCTTAGTCCCTGCGCACCCCAGTACAAAGCGCGACCGACGTGTTGCTTAACAAAAGGAAAAAAATATATAAAATCGTTCTTTATTGGAAAAAAAAATTTAAGTATAGATAAATGTTAGAATTATGTACTAATTTTGTTTCATAGTTCTATATTTTTCTTGAAAATTCTTTTAATTATTTCTAGTGAAAAGCTGTTTTTCAAAATATCTATTTATTGAAATATTAACTTTTTTCTTTTTTTTAGTGACCTTTACTCCAAAACATATTTCATATTTAAACACTATAACTCAACATGTTATTTTTTAATCAGCATAGAGAAGTTCATCTGCCTTCCATCAGTATGACTGATGCTAACCTCCAGGAGAGTAACTGTTTGCATCTTCTTGGTCTCACATTTCCCACTGACAGGAAGTAGAATGATTATATTGAATCATTTCCTACGTTTACTGCTAGTTCACAGTGTCTTGATAGACAGGGTTTTTTTGTTTGTTTGTTTTTGTTTTTTGTTTTTTTATCCCTGGAATACATCTTGCACATTTATAAATTTGCCATTCGTCCGCGCATTGAATATTGCTGCCATATCTGGTCTGATGTTCTTGCTGTTTATCTCTAGATTCTCGACAAGAACCAAATTAGGGTCTGTCATTTAATCAGTCTTGACCTGGCATCTCGACTTCAGCCACTTTCTCACCGCCATGACGGCGCTTCTTTTCTAGAAATATTTTCATAACAATTGTTCTGATGCATTTTCCTTATTGATGTCTCCAATGCATGAATTTAAAAGTGCTACTAGATTAGCTACTAGGTCTCATCTTTTGACTCTTGAAATAGCTAGATGCATTCTCATCATCCTTCTGTAGAACATCTCCGTTGCCTCAAGTCTCTTCTTCATTCACTGTCATACATAAAGTTTAATATTACATATAACTTCATCATTAATTTCTTTTGACAGCGTTACTCGAAGCTGGTGGCGCTCGTGACAAATATGGCAGGCAAATTATGGCAAAAATAGTCTTATTTTAAGTGAATCTTAGGATCCCCATATCTAATTGAACCGGGTACTCCATCTTAAACAGGAAAATTATAATAGGTTTAATTCTTTTTCAAACGTGACCTTCTTCACGTTTGAAAAAGAATTAAACCTATTATAATTTTCCTGTTTAAGATGGAGTACCCGGTTCCTTTTCGTTTCTCGGACTTTAATAATGGTACCATCAGGAAATGGAATGATTATATTGAATCAATTCCTAAGTTCAAAGTGTCTTGTCTTTTTTCTCGCTAGAATCCATCTTGCACATTTATAAGTTGGTCTGGTATTCATGCTGTTTATCTCTAGATTCTCAATAAGATCCAAATTAGGGTCTGTAATTTAATCGGACTTGACCTGGCATCTCAACTTCAGTCACTTTCCCACCGCCGTGATGTCACTTGTCTCTAACTTTTCTATAAATATATTCATGGCAATTATTTTGATGCACTTTCCTCCTTGATGCCTGAATTGCATGAATCTAAACGTACTATGAGATTGGCAACTATCCCTTGTTTCCTGTTTAATAAAGAGTACTCATTTACTTTTCTTTTCTCGGACCTTAATAGTAGTACAGTCATTAACTTTTTGTGATATGTGTGGGTGGTGATAGCATCTCTTCATACTGAGGCTACAGGGTTGACAGTTTTCTGGTTGCTGTTCCCGTCTTGTAGTGGAGCCCGAACTCTTGCGTAGCGTCTTGAGATGCTGTTCTGATCAACAGTCGCATAATATCGGGGTTCTTGCAGTGACATGTCGCACATGGAATGGTGTCCCTGCAAGCACCTCAAGTGGGCAACCCCGAAACCACACTATATTGCAGTCTGCGCCAGTTCCCTTCCCGCACATGTTACATTAGATGACCGACTGCTACTACTAGTCTAGGCCTTTCCTTACCAAATTAACACACCATAACTATAAGAAACTAAAGATATAAAACTAAACCAGCTCGACAACATTCATGGTATTCGTACCAACTTCTGCAGTGTGGAACCGTCCTCTTCGAAAAGTCTCCGGACATCCTAACTTTTTAATCCCCTCTTCTGATTTCTCGATTCCTGACCATCTTCCTTTCCTTAGGAAGTTCACATGCATGTCCTGGGAATTTATGTCCACGAACATTTCCCTCTTGAATCTCCAGACGTTTCTTACATGTGTCTCCGTCTCTCTCTTCTAAACTTAGCTATCTCTTCTTTCTCTACCGTTCCCCTTCCTCTCAAGACTGTTGCGTGCTAGATAGTATTTCTGATAATATACACAAGGCCATCTCCCTACACTGGTTTGCAAATATATTTGTGTTCGATGACTTTAATGCCCACCATGTCAGGTGCTTTAAACACTACCAATTAACTCGCTGACATCCAAACCCTAAACTTCCCAATCACTCAATTTCTCCTGCAAGTGGGGGACTTACCCACGCGTTTCTCTAGTAACCCTGATGGACACGCTTCTCTTTTAGATCCCTTTTTTACCTCTGTCCATGAACCATGTCGTACCATGCAGTTCTACCCTCTTGGCAACTCCGATCCTGAGGTAGTGTCTGCAAACATCGCTTTCCTCTCCCCCACCAGCCAAGAACCTCCTACCAACAGAATATCTTTCTGTTTCAACGAGCGGATTGGGACTCGTTCCGTGATTTCTTTCGTGGCGTTCCTTGGAATTGAATTTTTAATCATTCTGTTCACGAATGCGCGTCTAATGTCTCCTCATGGTAAAAGCCGGCATCGATGATTTCAATCCAGCAAGGAAATAGGAAAATTTAAATCGAATTCATTTGCTGCATGCTCGGCTACTATAATCCACAGGAATCACTTCTTCAGGCTGTAGTAAAGCGACACATTTGATTGCAACAGACGTCTCTTTGTCTCTGCTCGTAACGAGTGCAAGCGTCTCCTCAAAAAAGCGTAGTTACTGTTTGCCGATAGAATGAAACAACGTATAGCATCTCGCAGGTTCGGTTCTAGAAATCATTGGCGGCACTACAAGAGTGGGCTGAACGATAGCAGATCCTCAACCCTTCTACTATTAAATCAATTTGAAGTCCTGACATCTACAGCAGATAAAGTCGAGTGCTTTGCTCGGAAATTCTCTTCCAAATCAACACTCGACTCATTTGAAGTACGCACACCTGATTTCGTCGATAGGACAGAAACTCTACTGAGTTATATATGCATAACCCCGTCACTGGTCTCAGACATCAATTCTAAATTAGATTCCCATAAGGCAAGTGGAGGTGATGGGATCCCAGTCGTCGTCCTTAAGAAATGTGCTCCCGGGCTGCTTCCACTTCTCTCGAAACTACAAGCATTGCCTCGCTGCTTCCTGCTTTACAGCTTATTGGAAGTCCTCCTCTGTAGTTCCTGTTCTTAAGAACTCTGGGTAACTGTCTGACCCCTCTAAATATCGCCTTGTTAGACTTTTTTTAGCTTGTCGGCAAAGTATTTGAGGCTTTAATCAATGCTGAAGTGATTAAGCTTCTTACCTATCCCGACCTACTCTCTGACAAAAAAATATGGCTTCCGTTTTGCCATGTCTACCGCTGATGTGCCATCACTGAATATGTATATCAAGTTCTTGATAATAACGGCTAAACACGAGCTGCGGCTCTAGATATCACGAAAGCGATTGACAGGTTTGGCATGTTGGTCTTCTACGTAAGCTAAAGTATTACAGGACGATTGTTTGATTTAATCCAATCGTTTCTATCAAATCGTGAAATGAAGGTCGTTTTGAATGGGCTCGCCTCCAGATCCTTTCACGCGAACACAGCTGTGTGCCCAAGGGACCCTGGGTCCTACACTGTTTCTGATCTTCATCAATGACCTTCCTGGTGCCATCAGTTCCCAAGTAGGCATTTATGCAGATGAAACTGCCATTCACTCCTGTATCAATAACAAACCCGTCAGAACTGACAAAATGAAACTGTCAGCTGCTATTGAAAAGAACCTTCCATCAGTAGCTACCTGGGTCAGGAATAGTAAATCTTAATGCCTCCAAAACGAAACTGCTCTCATTTAACCAAAGAGAAACTTTCCTGTCTGCCATCAGCATATCTAATGCTAAACTCCTGGACAGCAACACACTGCGCCTTCTTGGCCTCACATTTTCAACTGACTTGAAATGGAGCAACTACATTGAAACAATAGCTGCATCTACTGCAAGGGAATTTGGGTCACTGTATCGTGCCAGGTTTTTCTCATCAGTGTCCATCTTGTATATTTACAAATCTACCATTCGTCCGTGAATTGAATACTGCTGCCATATCTGGTCTGCTGCTCTTGCTATTCATCTCGAGATTCTTGACAAAATTCAAAGAAGGATCTGTAATGTAATCGATCATGACCAGGCATCTTGCCTTCAGTTACTTTCTCACTGACGTGATTGTCATCCTTCTGTCTTTTCTACAAATATTTACATGGCAAACCCTCTGATGAGCTTTTTTTTTCCCCTGGTGCTCAGACTACGTGAATTTAAGCGTTCTACTAGATTGGCATATCGGCAACACCCGTATAATGTTGAAATAGTTAAATGTAAATGCCAATTCTAATCTTTTCTCGCACTTCCCGCCTCGGAACTGTCTTCCGTTTACTTGCTTTCATGAAAACTACAAAAATTTAAATGCAGTGTCAGTCGTCATCTTTTATCTTCTAGAATCCCGTTCATCTTTTATCCTAAATTCCATCTATACCCAGTTTTCATTTTCTGTGACCCCCTGCGTGCTAGTGGCATCCCGCCTTGCTTGAGGTGAAATGCTTTAAAAAATCCCAGGCAAATAGCCTTTTTGCCAAGTCTACCGATAAGAAATGCGTAACGACTTAAAAAGGAAAGGAAAAACGAAAAAAAAAAGAAAAGAAAAGAAAAAAAGAGAAGAAATAACGAAAAAAACGAAAAAAAGAAAAGAAAAAGAAAAAAGAAACGAAAAAAGAAAGGAAAAATGAAAAAGAAAAACGGAAAAAAGAAAAAAAAACGAAAAGAAAATAAAGAACGAAAAAACAAAAGAAAAAATGAAAAAAGAAAATAAAAACGAAAAAGAACAGAAAAAACGGAAAAGCAAAGAAAAACGAAAGAAGAAAAGAAAAAAGGAAAATAAAATAAAAAAAGAAAAACGAAAAAAGAAAAGAAAAACGACTAAAAGAAAAGCAAAAACGAAAAAAGAAAGAAAAATGGAAAAAAGAAAAGAAAAGAAAAAATAAAAGAAAAAAGAAAAAAAGGAGGCATGAATTTGGTATCCTCACTTGTGCTGAAAGAACTCCTTGCTTTGCTTGGTGCTTCAGCCACATAAAAATGTCGCCTTCTTCGTCAGTCACCTCCTTCAGGACTTTGTCATCGGTAAGACGGATTGATTCAGTAAGAACCTGAAAAACAAAATGACGAGAAAAGTCTTCCAGAGGACATCTTGCAGAAATATTTCTGAAGAAAATTAAAGATAATAAACAGAAAAGGAAAAACATAGAAAGTTAGAAAGAAAGGAACATGGCCATAATATCATTCAATTCATATGAAAAAATAGATTTCAAACTCATCATTATCTATCTATCTGTCTATCTCAGTCAATCCATATCGAAGTCTCTTCTTATCCATCTATCTATCTATCTATCTATCTATCTATCTATCTATCGTAGTCTCTTCTTATCTATCTTAGTCTCTTTTCTAAGTATCTGTCTTAGTCTCTTCTCATCTATGTATCTATCGATCTATCTTAGTCTATTCTTATCTATCTCTCGATATATATATATATTTATTAAAGACATATTTTTATGTTTAACGTTGTTATTTCATAGATACAAGTATTAAATAACAACGTTAAACATAAAAATATGTCTTTAATAAATAAATTGTCGGACCTTGTCCATTTCTTAATATATATATATATATATATATATATATATATATATATATATATATATATATATATATATATATATATATATATATATATATCGCACATTGAGTGCTGGTTAAAAATAAAATGTAATATAACAGAGCTATAAATTATATATTAATAATAAATATATATTTTCCCTCACCAATACCACGAACCTGAGTTTCGTGAACGACGCAATCGTCTGATATCAAATAAGAATAGCTAATTTCTGAACATTGCGTTGTACATGAATTTCAGACTCGTGTTTCCGGTGAGGGGCAAATGTATATATTTTAAATGTTTTTTTTTTCAATGAGAATAAAAAATGTCTACATGATGTGATGCGAACATGTTCGACCATTCCTTGATCATTATCAAGAATCTCTCTCTCTCTCTCTCTCTATATATATATATATATATATATATATATATATATATATATATATATATATATATATATATATAATAATCTCTCTCTATATATATATATATATATGTATGTATGTATGTATGTGTGTGTGTGTGTGTCTGTATGTTCACATATCTCTATCTATATCTATAATATCTACCTCAGTCTATTCATTATCTGTCTATCTATCTCAGTGTATTCATAAAAAATCTATCAATTTCTCTATCTCGGTCTATTAATATCTATCTGTCTCAATCTATTCATATCTGTCTTTCTATCTATATGACTAAACAATTTTCTTGAGTGGACGCTCTGTTTTTTAAGTATACCGTCTTGCCCATTCGGGATAAAAAAAAAAAGAAATATGTCTTTTCAATGTACCCATTAAAATAACGTTTAGAGTAATAAGAACATTACCTCTGTCTATCTATCTCAGTTTGTGTCTTATCTATCTATCTATCTATCTATCTATCAATTATCTCAGGCCCGTCGCAAGAGTCTTTTGAGACGAATTACTAGCCTTTACGTCAAGAGTGACGCAAGTAAGAATTAGCACACTAATATGTTCACTTCATTTTCACAGGGGAATTATTTTTCCACGGTGAGACGCTAACTTGGCGACGGGCCTGCTTATCTATCTCATTCTCTTCATACCTATTTCTTAACATAATCAGAGAGAGAGAGAGAGAGAGAGAGAGTCGTAGAGAAAAGGTAAAAACTAACAGAAAGAGAAGCCAATTGTTACTTACATCTTTGTCTTTGTGTGCTTCACGGTCCATTCGTGTTTTATCAGCAACGTATTTGTAATACACTATCAAAATCAAAAGAAAAATATTTTACTTTCTAACTCTTGCCCTCATATGATGTATTCGGTGCCATTGTCGCAGTCAAAAACAGAACGTCTCGA